CAACAATTGTATCCATTGTTGTATCCATTGTATCCAACAATTGTATCCATTGTTGTATCCATTGTCATGTTTGATATATAAAAAAGTATCAAAATGAGTTTGTCTGAAAGGTAAACTGTGGTTTTAGTTTGGGGAAAAGGTATCCAGACAACTGTCGTGAGGATTTATGCAATTGAAAAGGAAAAAAAAAGAGAAAACATTTAATGTGTGTGTGCTGATGTTTAACAGGGCACACGGTAAAGGAGGGACGAGTGTGAAAGCTGTGGACAGCATTCGAGGAGGGGACAGAGGAACAAGCATTCCTACAGCTATCCCCATAGCAATGACAGCTATAACATCTGCAGTACTGAACAATAACAGTGTGAAATTTGATTTCACACATTCCTCATGTAACATTGATGCTTTCTTTGTTCCTTTTTCTTACTGAAAGTACAGTTATACAAGACCCATCTGTGCTAAAATCTCTATATGAAATACCACCTTACTGTAAACAGGGTCGATCTGAATTTTAAAACCTTGAAGGGAAGCCAACAAAAAATGAAACGATGAGAAGAAATGTGACATATACTTTGTTTCTTTATTACAACAATAAGTGAAGTATTAGTTGCTGAGAATAAAAACTCTCATTTAACAAAGAGCCGGTGGGTGGAGATGCTGACCTGTTGCCATCTAGTGGTTTCTTGAATAGTTGTTCTGCTTCACTAGAATCATGACGTCGGGTTGGATCACAATGCTGACCCAGATGAGGCATAAAGCCCAAACTTCTTATCTTATCTCTGATTTCTTACATTGCAGCGTTTACCCTGTTTTTCCTCTCTCATAACATCATGACACAGTCCTGGGATCTTTGCCATCTTCCATCAGAGGCCTTTGGTTGTTTACAGGAAGTTGTGTGTTCCTGTGACCTTCCAGAAGATTAAACGTTGTGTTAATCTTTGTTGTTCGAGCATGCATGCAGATCCCTTTGGGACCCACTTTTGCTTTTGAGATTCATTAGTTCCTCATGGCTGTTATGTAAATTTGAAGTTTCGTGAGGTTTTAATTTGCTTTTGCAAAGGAGCCAGATGTGCAACAGCAGTCTCTGTGCCTTTTGACCAAGAAGAATAACAAGCACAGAACAAATTGTTCTGTTATTGACCTGCTGTGGTCACAGAATATAATCAGAACATTCAGTGGAAAAGATAACTTGTACAGGCGAGTACATCATGTGTTGAAAGATTACATGTTGACATGATGCTATGGATCCGATTCAGTCAGGACAGCGCCGCACAGGAATTACGCTCCTTCCTGTTGATCACTCGCTGATCACACAGTTACATCCCGTTTGGCACAAAGAACAGATCTAAAAATCTAGATCGGTTTAATTTCTGTCCTTTCTGTGTTGTGTCTGTAACTTGTCTTTCATCTGGGTTTGTATCACATTTAGGTATTTAGCATTGAACACTTAGTTCATACATAATCTATGCAGATGAAGTCCATCACACAATCCTGTTCTGTTGCCTCCGAGTTGACCAGGATGTTGACCAGGAAGTAGAGCAGGTCATCTACTCATCGGAACGTTGGCAGTTTGATCCCTGGCTGCTCCAGTCTGCATGCCGAAGTTTCCTTAGGCAAGATACCGAACCCCGATGCTATCATTTGAATGTAAATGTTACACACTCCACTCTCGATGAGAAGCTTTGGCGTGGGGGAGCCCTAATTGTTCTGCAGAGACATTTGCTGCCGGATACTCGATGGTCAGTTCGTGTGCTTGGAGACACTCTCGATGGAGGACACTGAACGAGAGCTACCGTTATGAACCATGATAACAGAGCTCTGGCTGATCGGAGCTGCCTCTGACCTGGCTTATCAAAGAACAAAGAAAGCGGTTACAGCTTTCCAAAACCCCCACTAGGCTCGCCGACATGATTGACGATGGGCAAGCTGTGAATACTCAGACTGTGTTTATGGAACACCATATGGGAAGCTCACGGCTTTGCAATGGGAAATAGTTAGACCTGGTTTCCGCATTAACCCAAACAATCATCTCCCTCACTCATGCAGCTCCTGAACAACAAATTCTTGTCCCTGATAACCGGACTATGTTTAGTCTCTCTGACCCGATCCTTCAAGGACCCCTGGTTTGACTGAAGGACTGCTGACTTTTGCTCAACCGGGTGAAAGGACACTGCTGTCTACATTGGCTTACTCTAGCCCTGCTCACCCAACCCTGTTGCTTGTCACGTGTTTTCATGGTGTCACGGTGTGAAGATTCATGTTTTCTGTTCTCATACTGATCCCCTATCAGGAGCTCAGTTCTCTTTTTTTCTCCTCTCCTGTTTTTCTATACCTTACCTGTTCTGACCTGTCTCCCCAATGTGATGTTTGTGTAACGTATGTATGGTTGGAAGAGGTCCAATTTCGCTGCAGGCAAATTAAGGCTTCATCATCATCATCATCATCATCTTTTAAAGAACAGAAAAAAGTGCTTGTATGGATGGGTGTTGAATGGGTGAATGAGGCATACTATAAAAGAAAAACACTATAGAACATCAACCATTTACTCCTCCTTTACCAATGAAGCAACAAGGCTGAGGTGTAATGTTCCTCCCTAACCTAATGTTCTGTGAAATAGAGCGTTGCACTCCCTGATTGACTGCTCTTATTGGCTGTCAGATAAAGGTGATGTTCAGTCGCATCCTTCACCTCTCCATAAAATTGGGATAATACAGAAGAAACAACTAGTTTCTCAGTCCTTTCTCATAGAGATATGTGAGAGGCAGTACAAAGAATACAGCTACAGTTGTTTTGTTTGTGTGTGTGTGTTTCGGCGTACAGATAGACTGCAACCTCATGTAGTCCCCCTGTTGGTCGGTGGGGGGCAGACGTACATTCTCCAACCTGCATTGTTTCCATTTCAGGTGAAGAAGAAGATGGTTACTGGGGTAACGTCAACATCATCTCGAGCCGCTGACTTTCTTCCAGCTAGCGTTTCCTTCTTTTTCGTTTATTTCTCTTTTCAGGTAAACCGCCGACTGGAAGTTATACAGGCGTATAAAACGGACCGCAAAGAGACCATTTTCCGGTAAGAAGCTGCGTTATCTCACGGCTAACGCCGGGACGTTTACCGAAGCTTTCGTAAACGAAGCTAAGCGAAAAAGTCTCAGCTAACAAGTTAGCAATAGCCGAACTAAGCTTCAGAACTGTAGGTTTTAACAGACTACGCTGTCATAACGAGGCACAGCGATGCGGGTCAGTGTGATGTCAGTGCAGCGTAGATGCAGTGTTTGTGCACACACACGCACACGAAACAAATCATGTTTCTAAATCAAAGTAAACACGTGACATTTGTTATTATTTAGCAGTTCTTCTGTCCTCTTTTTAGCAGTGTGCACATCTTTATTTCCTTTACAAGCTCAGTGTTACTGTGAGGTACAAGTCAGCCGCTTCTTTCGCTACCACTCCTAATCACGTGACCGCCTGATCTGTTGTGCTCGTAAAATCTACTCAAGTGGAAAATGTCAGTATATGAATTAACAGGCACCACAGGGTTAAAGGTTATTCTTTAGTGTCTTCAAGTTTGGCCCTTTTATTTCACCAACAAGCACCGAACTGTAACAGCATCAGGACTGGGTGTTATGAAATGATGTGGTTACTGTTGCTCCAAGGCAACAGGAACAGTGACAGACTGAACTCAATTAAATAATACAATAAATTACAAAGTTAAAAATATAGGAAATAACATAAAAATGGCTCCATCCAGCCAGCAGCTCCACGTGTCTGATTTGTTACTCAGTGTTCCTGTTTGTAGAGGTGGGAATCACCATACATCCCACGATACGATATTATCACAATACTTAACGCACGATACGATATTATTGCAATTTTTTAAAATATTTTGCGATATTCAGATTCTGTACATAAAGGTAAACTTTATCAATATTCATTTTCTCTAATATCAAAGTCTCACACTCAGTCTTTCTCTCATTTCAGTTTTATTGTTGACAAACTGAACGGTTTGTATTACAGTCTAGTCCAACTTAACTGAATCAACCATCTGGTACAATTATAGCTATTCTGAACTATGCAGTTTATGAAAACTATGCAGCCCCTTCAGCAACTGAAGAATTTGAAAGTAAATTAAAACAAAATATAATTTTACATTAAATAAAAAAGTTTTAAACTTAATTAAAATAAAACATGTCTTAAATTAAAATAAGTAAACTGTCATGTTTATTGCTGCCAAAAACAAGTGAAACACATTTGGACAGTGAAGGAATGTCAGGATTCTTGCTCAGAAAAAGGATCAACATGCTCTGAAGTCAGAGCACAAAAACCTTTTTGTAACAAAATATTGATTTCTGCTGTCCCTGTATCCATACATTATTAGCAAACAAATATCACCATGCTACACAGTATCGATTTTTCCCCCACCCCTACCTGTTTGTGTGTCCACTAGTTTTAGGCATCATGGCAAGCCAGCGGCCTCCGTCCAGCATGGGCCGGCCGATGAGCCGCAGCGGATCTGTGGTCCCTGGTGCTGGGAGACCCCCTACAGCTATCCAGCCTCCTCCTACAGCTATGCGTGTTGCAACTGGGGTAAGCCATCAGCAGCATGGATACGCTATAGCTTTGAGATATTGAGTGTGTTATGTTCAGTCTGAAAATAAAATTGTTTGCTGACGATGTTGTGGTCTTAACATTTATAAAGCCACAGTTGTGCTGATTCTGTGTTTCTGCGCGCCCAAGAAATGAGTTTTCCCCTCCCTACATGTGTGTTGTATCTAATATGAGAAAAAAGAGATATCGTGATAATATTGTCACTGTGAATTCTTTCAGCTAAAATAATTTCAGAGTGAAAATGCAATTTTGTGACAGCCACAACTAAGGCACTGCATTTCCTCTTCCAGATGGTTCCAGGGACCAGTGCTCATCCAGGTTTGAGGGGTGGCATCCCCGTCGCCTCCCCCGGAGTCCTGACAGCACCGATCAAAGTGACTGAGAGGCCGGTCACCCAGCAGGGGCTCAGTGGGATGAAAACTGGCATGAAAGGTATGTTTTCTTCTTGGATATTTTTCTGATTGTGTCTCTGTTTAATATATAAACAAACCTGTGACCTCCCTCCCACATTTCCTTTACCAAAGGACCTCAGAGACAAATTTTGGACAAGTCCTACTACTTGGGTCTTCTCAGGTAACACATACTCACCGGCATTAACAGTAGCTACTTATGTCAAAGTAAAGGAGTGCATAAACCATAGGTCAGCTAGATCACTTCACAAAAGATGCAAACATACTGAGCACATTCACATGTCTTAGAGTTGGTCTTGAGTTAAAATGTATTTATTTTTTCACCATAGATACAAATGTGATCTTTTTACGCTGTTCGTGAAAAATTCTATCGATGTGAAATTTGTTCTTCTGTCAGGAGTAAGATCAACGAGTTGACCACAGAGACCAGCAAACTGCACAAAGAGATCGAGAGCTACAACCAGGAGAACTCCGTCTATCTCTCTTATGAAAAGAGGCGGGTGGTGTTCTTCTTCTTTTATGACTGAAAGATGAAATCCACTGAATCCAGATGAACACTGTATAATGTCCCCACATTGTAACCCTGTGATGTGTGTCTGCTGCAGAGCTGAAGGCCTCGCTGCTGAGATTAAGGACATGCAAGGCCAGCTTGCTGACTACAATATGGTAAACAGCAACAATGTTGTTAAACACTGAAAGATTGTATCCACTTTTTCACGGTGTTGTTGAGGAATGTCTATCTGAAGCAGTCGGCCATGATGACTTAGGCTACGTCCACACGTACCCGGGTATTTTTGAAAACGCAGATTTTTCTATGCGTTTGCACCTTTCGTCCACACGTAAACGGCGTTTTCGGTCACTGAAAATGGAGATTTTTTAAAACTCCGGCCAGGGAGGATATTTTTGAAAACTCTGTTTTTGCGTTTACGCGTGGACGAGAAAAATGGAGAAAATGCAGCGTCAAAGGTGTGCGCATTTTTTGACGTCACACTGTGCGCCACGTTATTGTTTCGGTGAAATGAATTTCTACAATACTGTTACTGTTACTTGTTCTCTCTGCAGTGTTTAAATGCTTACATATACACACAGTTACTGTCCCTCCACACATAAGACTCGGTTCTGCTTCTATGCCCCAGCTTTGTTTACTATTTCCCACCGAGGCTTCTAGACTTCTGATTGGCCAACATTTCTACACGGTTAGGAATATAGCGCCACCTGCTGCTTTGGCATGTTCCTAGCAGCGTTTTCCTTCATTTCTGCCTTTTTACTTGTGGACGGGATTATTTTTTAAAATAAAATGGAAAATCTCAGTTTTCAAAATTACCCGTGTACGTGTGGACGTAGCCTTAAAATAGACGATGTAAACTTCCCACTTCAGGGACAGTAAATATTTGATTGCAGGTGTTACGATGTTATGAGGTTGTGTTTCCAGTTTCCAGTGAATGCGTTAAACACTGGACTCATTTTTACTTCACTTTTGTATTTTTTATTTGTGTTTCCAGCTTGTGGACAAGCTCAACACCAACACAGAGATGGAGGAAATGATCAACGACTACAACATAGTAAGTAATCCATCACAACAATATAAAGGGGTTTTTCATGAATGGAAAAATTCTCCCTTTAACTTTTTGATCTCGTGTTTAGTTGAAAGCCGAGAACGACAGCGAGGCAGAAAGCATCGATAACATCTTCACCGAGAGGAGAGAGTAAGTGCACGTTCTCATAAAGACACTTATGTCTCCATTAGTTCACAAATACACTTTCTTATTTTCAGAATGAAGTACTAGGACATTATTTAATTTAGCCTGATGGCTAGTTTTCATGTGAGTCATAACACATTACTTAAAAAGAATCAGATATGTGCAGGTTTGAGACTTTTGAACACAAACACAACAGGAAACAACTGCTTGTTATGTAAAGATGAAGCAGCAGTGGAGTTTTCTTAATAAAACTGGTAAAATAAATGCCGCGTAGATCCGCGAGCAAACAAACACGTGGAGTTTTTTATCTGAAACACTTGCAAACTGTTTTCAAACCACCGTAAAGTGAGGTTTGTATAACACTGCACATTGCTGCTGGTGTTGTCGAGTCATGAAGACGCCTCTTTAGTGCCACTGGAGGTGAAAACTCTTGTAAACCATGTGACTTCATCGTTCTAGTGCCAAACAAGGATAAAGCTGTCGATCTAACTGGGCGCTCGCACACTGACACTAATGGCTCAGATTACAGGAAGTGTTCTGTACTTGATTATTGTTCTTCTAGTGGTCAAAAAGTGGAGTTAGGATTGTTGCAGACTCCTCGTAGCTGTGTACTAATGGAAGTATCTGGGCAACAATGCAGGTCGTGGAGTTAAGAGCCTGAATTTGTTCTTTCAATAACCAGCAGTACAGCTCTCACACAATATGAGTGATTTTGTGACCCGTGAAATGATAAAACTCAGCGGTGTTTATCAAACAGCAGGTTTGCCACTGAATGGATTGTATTGTGTTTGTGGTTTGGTTTCTTATCATCGTCGTTTCTCCTCGCGCACGTCACTCTTCTCTCCTGATATACGGATCCTCAAAGTACTCCTGCTCCTCGTCTCTCTGTCTGTTCATCTGTTCAAAGCTGAATGTTTGATTGGTCGGGTGTCTTCCCGTCGCTGAGAACTCCGTCGACACGAAATCCTCGTCGCCCTCCTCGGCTTCTTGTCGTAACTGCCGATGCCTGTAGTTGTGGAAGAGCTTGTACCAGGACGGCCCCTTGACGGCACATACGATGAGCACGGAGGTCGTTACCGCCAAGATCGCGACGGATGCTGTGAATTTCCAGGTGTTGCCGAGCGCGGGTGCCGGGTCTGGTTTGGGTTTGAGGATGGAGACGGGTTATGAGCTTGCATTTGTGCGTCCACGTATTTAAGTGGAGAAAATGATCTGATGTCGTACCTTTGCTGACGCTGTTGTTCTGACTGGTTGACTGCGTGGTCGTCATAGTAACTGATGGGCCCGACGTGTGTTGAGGGCGGACTGGTGTTTTTGGTTTCTGAGGGTCTGGAGTGACGGTGGGTGATAATGTGGAGCACAGTGCTGTAGCATTAAGAAGATCTCGTCCTGCCTGCTCTGCTGGAGATGCGCAGACGACCTGTGGTCCTCCTGCAGCCACACACCATTTCAGTAGGTCTTACATGCTCTTTCAGTTAAGTTAGAGAACAGTTTCTTCACATAGAAAGGGATTTTAAACACTGGCCTCATTATCTCTCTATACTACACTCCTACTTGTTTTCATTCAAAGCAGTACTTTTGGCTATACTGGGATAAATCTTTAACAATGATGTGAAAATAAAGTTCACTGATTGATCCAAGAGAATCACTGAAATTTGCAGCATGGGACATATGATTTAATAATCAAGCTACCAGCAACAACATTTTCCTTTAAGTAAGTAACCAGACCATCGCTCAGTTTCCCCAGGAGACATTTTTTGCTCACTAAGGCAGAGCATTGAACTCTGTATGGGAGCCAGGTTGTATATGGTGGGTGCTCTCCTGCATATAAGGCTCAAATAAAACCTCCATACCAGCTGTGTGAGTCTCTTACATGGCTCATAGATTGTAAGTAAAAATGTGCCGCTGTAGGTTCAAGCGAGATGCTCCGTGTCTACTAAAATTCCTTCAAATAAAGATGCACTGCTCAAAAGAAGTTCAGGAACACTTTGAACACCGGTCTCAGTGGGGGGAAAGCCATGCTGGATACTGATATGGATGGGGGAATGAAAAGATGGGAATGAAAATGATCAGCCTAGAGAGAGCCGAATTCAAAGACACAACGCAAATAAAAGTGAAGCAATGATGCAGCCAGTCTGTTGTCCCGATCCCTGATGAGTCAGGTGCCGTTGCCTAGCCTGTAGACGTCTGTGTCCCCCCCCCCATAGATATGCCTCCCCAGACCATTCCTGACCCACCACCAATCTGGTGGTGCTGAACGGTGTTACAGGCAGCACAACGTTCTCTACAGCTGCTCCAGACCCTTTCACATGTGTCACGTGACCTCAGCACACTCATGAGCTGTGTTTGTGACACCGTTCATCTGGAAAAAATGTTCTTTGTTTGAGCAGTGTTTATAGTTTTCAAACTGCTGCAATTGACTCATTAGCTCCCAGAAAGGGTCACAGGTCAGCCAACATTTAAAAGTGTGTGATGAAAATTACTACCCATGGTAACATTTGCTGCGTCGATCTGTCCAATGATGGTGAGCAGTGGACAGGAACAATTCCAGGGGTTTCCCTGTAGGTTCAGTACCTGATGGGACCAGACAGAGCGAGGTGAATGAACTAATAACACATCCTGTACAGGAAACACTTACATGTGCAGCCCTAAACCCCCATACACATGCATGCATTTCTTTATGTATGTCATGTCTAGATTAGTTATAACTAAACTCTAAGTTTGCAGATTCTTTTTGAAATGCTCGTTTTACCTGTAACTTGTTCAGCACACTGATCAGCTGTGCAGGGAGGCTTGTTAGCGAGTTGTTGGTCAGGTCCAACTCTGTCAAGACATCCAGGTCACTGAAAGCCTGAGGGTCAAGGCTACAGAAAACAGCACAGCAGAATTATATTACACTTGATTACATACCACACTGTACTTGGATATATTACTAACATGCAACAGTAGTAGGTTTTAGTAAGTATCCACCAACATCAAAATCAAACCAGTTTAATGGTCGGTGTTTAACACACAGTATACTTAAAGCTAGGGATGCAACGATACCAATTTTTTCAAACCGATACAATACCGATACGTGGATCTGAGTACTTGCTGATACAGAGTACAAAAAACGATACTTCTACCACACACACACACACACACACAAATGCAATTAATTGAAAGACAGGTTTTATTTTATTCCCTGCCGATAAAAAATAAAATCTTAATAAAAATGACCACAAAAAAATTTCAAGTGAAAAATAAGCACTTCTGTTAAATTATTGCAGAGTCTCCACATTGTAATTTAACAAAATATCACTGAACTATTGGCACTGTCTCGAGCTTTCAGAATAATAAATAAACACTTCTGTTTGGAATAAAATAAATACAAATTAGGTTTGCGAATAAAATAAACTTTTAAATTATTGCAGCGTGTCCATATTGTAAACAAACAAACAAAATAATTATTATAAAATAAATAATAAATAAAATAATAATTGGCCCCCTAGTGGCCAATCTAAAAACTACAACAGAAATGACAAGCCACCCTCTGATTAATGAAATAAGTTGGTATCGGTTCATGGTATCGGTTAACTTTTACGAGTATGAGTACACACACATTTTACAGTATCGGCCCCGATACCCGATACCAGTATCGGTATCGGTGCATCCCTACTTAAAGCAGCTAATTAGCTTTTAGCTAGAAGTTAGACTTTTGCTAGCCTACTGACCTGCTGATGTTGTTTCTGGTGAGAGACAGCACTCTGAGGTTCGGTACCACAGAGAAGTATTTGGCTGGAATAGCAGTGATCCAGTTAGCATCCAAGTGGAGCTCTACCAGGCTGGGATAGCTAGCTAGTGCTTGTTTGTCCGTGTCATTCAGAGTAATTAGGTTCCCTTCAATCATCAGTTTGGTAACATTTACATTTTCAGAGTTTTCGGGGATGACTTGAAGATGTTTGTTGGTGAAGTTTGCTGTCAGCTGATGGGTGGAACAGGAACAATTGTTATAGAAAACTGGAAAAATATAGAAATAGACAGCTGGAGCAAAATGGTGTTAAAGGCCAGAACTTTTCTTACGGTTTCACCGTCTTTCACTGTCTCAGTATTTTTCACCAGCCCTGCAGTGAGCCACAGCAGGAGGAGAGGCTGCCAGCACCGCTCCATCACACCACACTGAAAGGAAATGATACAAAGTCCTGTAACCAACACGTGACAGAGAAAACACGCTCATTTGTTTTATCTGGGCTCTTAAGAAAACCAGTAATTAATTCATTTTTTGCCTGGTAAAATTCAGCTTTTTGATTGGAAAAGCGTTACGATGGCACAGATATCGACGAAGCCCAATTATGTAGTTGGACTAAAATAATCTGACTAACATCAACTCCATTTATACACAAGGTTTGCATAAGTTACAGTTAAAAAATAATCATTTAGCCTGTCAGTAAAATGTATTTTCTGAAATACATATTTAGCTCCTCCCCCTTTAAGCCAGCATTCTTTGGATTGGCTGTGCCTCTTAGAAACAAGGTTGCGTGACACAGTAGCGCCTGAAGACCACAAAGAGATGAAAAATATCAGCGTATGCTGTGAAAAGTGTGCAGGGGTTAAAAGTGTGAGATTTTGTAAATAAGTATTGGCCGATGTTTACACTGAGCACAGCACGTCATGAGGACAAATACTCACAAATACGAGTGATACAAAGTGCCATAAATGTGCATTCTAAGTAATGGCCAGCAGGGGGAGCTGCAGAAAGTCTAATATATGGCAACAGTAAAACAGCGCTTGGGTCTCTTGATCACTGACCTTATGATCACTTCCACGATAAGCTGATGGTCTCAGTTTCACATGAAAACAAAACTACACTGATCTTTCAATGATGGCCCCATTAGAATGAAAAAGGAGGATAAAACTTTACCACAACGTCCGTGTGTGCCTGTTACCAAACAGCAGGGTGGTGACAGTGTAAAAGGCAGCTTGAGGCTTTACAACGTTTTGTTTAAAGTGTTTGATTCAAACAGCAGGTAGGCGGAGCACAGCTCGCTGACATCACAAAGAGCAGAAGGAAAAAACTGTTCAGAATCTGATGAAAATACCCTTTAGAGTCGGGAGCTATTAAGCCATCTAACCTGAGGATAAAAACATTACCCATCATTGCACGGCATATTTCTGTGAATTCTTTGTATGTGCAGTGAGCTGAGAAATCGGGCACTTAAACCCGAGGTCAGAGTACAGCAGAGATAAAGCTCTGTGTTAGGGAGCGAGTGTGGTTGTTGAGTGCACACTGATGCTGGAGTGTCTTTTTTACAGAAACGTCAGTGCACGTCTTCTTTTGAAGGACACGTGTAGAAATGTGTCTCACAATCACAAGTCCTGTGTGGTTTTCACAGTTTCTCTTTATACTTGTTGTGTAATCATCTTTTACTAATGAAAAGTAGCAGAAGAATCTTACCTTCTTCTACAGATGAACCTTCGTCCTGTGTTCCTCTCACGCAGTCAGCGTACCGAGTGACCTTTGTTCCTTGTAAAACAAGTGTGCACTCTGTGCTAACTGTTTATGATTGATCAAGTTGGTCCTCCCATCTTTGCTGTCTTCCTTCTTCTGCCTACAAGTATCTCTCAGGTTACTGTTGGAAATGGCTCATCTGAATATATATGTGAACTAGTTCAAGGTGTAATTCTGCAAATGACTGAATATGATTAATGACAAGCATTTTAGTTCTTTTAATGATGAATGATGAATGAAAAAATGTTTCAGCAACATTTGCAAACTATTGTAAACGTTGTAGTGATTAATAGTGCTGTGAAAGTGAGCAGGCACTGCAGCAGACTGGGTTACATACCTGTGAGGAAAATCAAGAGAAGTGCATGACAGCTGAACAAGAATCCCCACATTCCTACTCTTCCATTGAAGTAGAGACTGATGTAAATGTGACGGGAAGAAAGCTGGAGCTGCATCGCAGCCGGAGCACCGTCTCTGGGAAAGTCGGGTTTCAGCACAGACGAGGGAATGTTGAGACTGGAGGAGCTGATCTACATCACAGGGGTCGGGTTCAAGTGTAAACGTACGATGGGAATGTTTATTCAAGAGTTTTGTGCTGTAGTCTTCCTCCATGAGTCCCAGAGCAGGGGTGTCAAACATAAGGCCCGTGGGCCAGGATCAGCCCTCCAAAGTCTTCAGTCTGGCCCACTGTGGAAAATGAAGGAGGGCATAAATCTTCTACGGTGTCGCCGTGCTCCATGACCACTCGTACTGTACCAAAGTAAATAAGTCGTAGATAAACCAATAAATGGCAGAAAGTTGCTCGTTTTTCACTGGCTACTATAGAAATTATCATTTTTATATTCGATTCATAAAGAAAAACAGAAAAAGGACAAAAATGTTTATTTTTGAATTACAGGACAGTCGGCACACTCTGGTTTAGCTCAGTGGGATGATCAGGAGGTCATACGGCGTGTGGCCGGACAGCAGTAGGCCCGGGTTTGAGTTTGATCCGCGCTAAGCCTTTACTGCATGCCCCCCCCCTCCCACATGTCTCTATGGAATAAGGGCTAAAAAGGCCCCAAAATTTAAAAAGAAAGCTTATTTGTTTCTTACAGTTTAAGTGCAAAGATACTGAGATGTATTATTGAATTGCTTTTGTGTTTTTTATGTTGAAATCTCTCAGAGAAAGAGCAGTTTCACTGATGCTGCCGGCTTCAGATCATAGTTGTGTTTCAGTGTTGTGATGTAGCAGGAAACAGGAGGAAGCTTTGACCACAGCTGCTCAATTCTGTCTCCGTTCGTCGTTGGTTGGTGCAGTAAAGAATGAAAACTAATAAAAAATAAATCTTTTCTTCATCTGCTTTGCCTTATTTTTCATGTGGAACGTTTTGGTTGTCCAGTGTTCAGTCAGGGCCTCCATAGACACACCTGAGGAGGTGGGTTGCAAAGCAGCTTGTGCCACAACTTAAGCAGCTTAGATAGCCTGACCCGATGTTAACTGATGTGTAGAAGCGTGTGGCATCCTTTACCTGTCTGCATGCACTCTGTCCACTCTGTCCACTCTGTCCACTCTGTCTCATCTGTCTGCTCTGCAGGAGAGAGGAGGCAATCAGGGCCATCGAGGAGGAGGTCAGGAGAGAGAGGCGCGTTGCTGATGAAGTCGTCCAAGCAATGCCGGCAGCAAAGCAAGAGAAATATTTCACCATGACAACCACTAATGAGGAACTTCTGCAGGTGAAGCTGTAGTTGTTGTGGGGAAAGAGGAGATTGGTTCATGTCAGCAGGCATGATGAAATCTCACTCTGGCAAGAACTCAGCTGATTCTTTTGTTTGGCAGGAGCTGACTGTTCTCCAGGAGGAGCTGGACGTCCTGATAACGAGGAAGGAGGACTATGAAGCCGTGAGTCGGGTGGAGGGGACGGTGTGAGCGAGGTGGAGGAGCAGCATGGTGTTTTACGTGAACGATCCTCGTTGCAGGAGCTGTCCCACTCGCAGATAAAGCAGGAGATGGTTCGGCTTCACGAGACCTTGTCAGCGCTGGAGGCCAAACGAGACGCGATGGAGGCGGAGCAGAAGAGCCTGGGTTCACCGCAGGAAGAGCGAGAGAAGTTATTTAAGCAGGTGTGCGCGCTGGCTTATCGGTCACTGCTACATCAGAGAGGACGGGAGGGGTTTGATGAAATGTCACAGAAACTTTTACAAACAGGAAATAGATTTGTTTGTGTTCCTGAAACTGGCTTTTACAAGGACATCACATGAACTCAGTTGCAGTCTGGTTGAGGAATTCGGTTCCTCAGCGTTCACTGCCTCCACACATTCAGGGTCTGCACCGGCAAAAACCCTCTTTCAGCATGAAAAAGCAACTATAGCTGCGATGTTTGTGTCCTGGTGCTTTATTTTGTTCTCCAATGTTCTCTGATTAAGTTCAATT